AGCAGGGTTGAGACCTCTCTTAAATGCTCTGCGGTAGAAGTTAACTTGGTTCTTGAGGGAAGTTTCAGGAGATCCATTCAAGTTTCATAATGGTTGTCTTATCTGAAACTGTTTCGAGAAGCCTTTGAGATAAGAACGTATTAAAAGGATAGCATTTTTTCTTTACTACCATTGGTCCATGGATTTAAACATACATATTCTTGTTTGAGCATGTATACTGTAAAAGCATCAGAAGTTTTCTTTGATAGGGTGACCACTCAACTGCGATAGTGTTGGTTCTGCTTGAGTGTGTTATCTGCCTAATATGCACTTAGGTCACTTTTTTTTTTTTTTTTTTTAAATAGAGTGAATAATTTGTAACCCAGTTTATATATTCTGCTGCCTAATCTCTATGAAATATATAATTTGTGTAGGTAAATGCAGTTTTTGCATCAGGATTTGAATCTGAGTATTCTATAGCAGATCCTTGTTCAAGTCTTTTCCTTAACGTTTTCTGATCATGCAGCTTTTATTTTATGCAGGTATGTGTGTTATGAGAATCGTTATCTCAGTGGAGTGCTTTGCTGCCTCATGACAGGATGTCCTGAAGTAATCCAGAATATTTGATTTGTTTTTTTCACCCATTTATCTCTTCCCAAAGACAGAAGGATTGTCAGATTTTTTTTACTTCATCTTTTTATTTCTTTTCCCTTTAACTACGGGTATTTACATGTCTGTACTTAGAAATGGTATCATCTGTCTTTTCTATGAGATGTTGGAGAAAAATGCTAATTCTGATAGATTTTCATTGCCTGAGTAAGGGAGCTAAGGCAAACTTCCAAAAGCTTGTTTTTCTTCCAGAAGTTGGTGATCAGCATTTAATCTTGTGGTTGAGAGATGTGTTCCTATTTGATGAAGGTGAAGCCTGAGCTTTCTGGAGTATGCATGGTTTTTCTCTTTCTGGTGTATGAAAATAAAGAAAAGCATCTTACATATTTAATCACAGCTAAATTTTGGGTTGGAATTTCTGCTTCTGGTATTGAAGAGAAGCTTATGTTCTTATTGCTGGTTTTTGCTTTCAGTTGTTACAGTATTGTTATATAAGTTCCCTTTACTGTAGTATGGAGATCTTGTCCAGACGTTTGATCTTGGAAGCTTGTAGGAAGGTGGAAAGGCATCTGGTTTTAACAATCACTATCCATTGTTGCATGTTATTCAAAGGGTGAAGTTCTATATAGTTTTAAATTTTGGTAGTCTGTTTTAAAGTTGTCATTTAGGTAACTGAAAGCTTCATATGTCTTCATACAGTAACATATTAACAGGCGGTATTTAGAAAATTTACAGCAGAAGTCATACTGTTTAAAGTTCTTACATTCAGCAGCCAAGCAGTTATGTGAAACAGATGTTGACTGTGTAGTATCCTTTTTGTTTGGTGGAAGCAGTATACTTCCTCGAGGTTGAAGATGGTGCTAGTTTTTACTGTGCTGGTTGCCTTTTGGAGCTGCCAATGAAGCCAGATTTTATTTCTTCATTTCTATAGCAATTGTAAATTTTCAGGCAAAGCATTTAGAAAACAGTCTCTTCTTTTGTCTCTTCCTGGTCTGATTATCTCTTCATCAGCCTTTACGATTAGAGACGTAGAGCAAAGTTTGCTGTGCTCATTTTGCAGAAATTTTTCTTTGAAGTACATGACACTAGAATATTAAAAAAAAAAAATCCTATTTCTGATTATTACTTTTTTATTCCGTTTGTTTCCTAAGACAGGCTGCCTTCCTACCAGAAAATAACTTTTTTATCCAATTTAATAAATGATAAACATTTTGTTTAAAAATATTGAATTTGATCCTGAAAAAGTAAGAGTATGTATAACTTTCAAATCAAACATAGACCTGCTTCTGTTACTTGAAAAGGAGGTCTTGCTTTGTTTGCTGACCAAGATGAACTGCCTATTCCCTAAGTTTTTATTTCGATATACCAAAAATCCCTTTTAAAAAAAATTTAAATTTTCTTTCAAAAAATTTAGTCCATAAAATAATGTGTGTGATTTAGATTACTGTGACGATGTGCCCTACCCTAGTCCACTTCTTTCAGAAGGTACTCTTACCAGGATAACTGGAAATATCTCTCTATATTATGCAACTCAGCTGAGTAATGGTATGGAAAGAAATTACAGATTTGATGATTTCCTGTTATGGTACAGCAGTCTCTGTACGATGAACATACAGGAGAGTGGGGAAAGACTGGAAAAATAAGGCAGATGATAACATTTGTTGTTCAGAAGGTTCTAAGAGTGTTTTGCTGAAAGAAGTTTGGGATGCTGAGGTTTATTCTCAAGACAGATAATGAAGGTTCAAGGGCAATAGGAGACTTTTTCTTTGGATCTAACAAATTCCATCCTGTAGACACAGTGCCTGAAATCACCATTTATTCAGTCTGTTTATTCAGTCATTTGATGTTGTAATGCTGTCAAAACAGAGTGCGAAGTCTTGATGTCTGTTGTGACGTAGATACTTATTCAGGCCTAAATCAAGATTTTAGGTCCGTTCTGGAGGTCCACTAATAATTTACAGTTGTTTTTTTAGAATAAATATATATTATAATTTAGTTTGCTATCTTGTAAATGCAGGCTTAGAAACTACTGGTGAGGTGCCAAACACTGAGCCTGGTCAAATTTAAAAGAATTATTCTGGATGTGAACAGCTCTTTTTCTTCTTACCAAGTTTAAAAATACTAACAACATGTTACAGAGTTTAGTAACATTCTCTGGTTTATGTACTAAAATATTTTGTCATATGTTTGTGTTACGTTTTTGTAATCCACCCAAAGGCCTTTTTCACAAGCATAGAGAATCAACATGTTGTGTAGTCATCTTTGAAACTTCATTTAAGGCAAAATGCATTAAGTGCTTAGCAAGAGTGGAGTGGTTAATATCAGGGATGCTGGAGCCTCCAGTTGGTTGAGCATGCCCAGGAAGAGGGAGATGAGAACTGTCCTCCCCATTGCTGTTCCTTCTTAAGCTTCATGATCAAAGTCATAAATTCCTGTTCTTAGGCTGGCTAAATTAATTGCCTAGGTGAGAGCTTGAGAGCAACTAACTTTAAATAGGATTGGTTAAACAAAGCATACGTATTTTGCCTTAATTTGGAAGTAAAGAGCAGAAGAGAGAGAAGGAGAGGGAGTTGCACTGTCATGCAATCCAAGTTGAATGGAAAATATGAACCCCTGGATAAGACGGCAACAGTTGTCAGGTAGTATCTGCCTTCTGAAAAAATGAGGGAGGAGGAAGAAAATAATGTTGAGCTATTAATTAGAATTTAAAATTTGAATAGTTATGGAAAACCACTCTCCTCCTTTGCTCTGTGGGAATAGAGGGGAGTACTGAACACCCTTCTAGCAACGTAGTCTGGCAGAGCAGCTAAAACTTCATCAAGTTAGTCATCAGAAAACTGATCCCACAAGTAAATGCCAGCCTAAGTCATCTTCACAGGGACAAACTACACAAAGCAATAAAATCTCCATACTGTATTTGACTAAAAGGCAGTTGACACCTCTACAAAATCTGGTTGTGGAGTACATGCAATGCCATCTGTGACATAGCTGCATCTAACAGTTTATGGAACGTCTTAGCAGATGAAATTTTTAGATGACCCCAATGAGCTGTCCAAGCTGTGAGTCACACAGAGACATTCAGCTTCCGAAAGCATTAAAGTTAGATCTGTTTGCTATCAGTCATACTTAGCCTGCTGTTCAAACAGTGCCTAAGCCCAGGCTTTGTCATATAGTTTCCTCGTTTCATACATAAGAGAGATCATTTACACCTGCTTACAGATCTTGTTAACATGAATCCTGAGGAAGCTCCAATAAGGATTCAGCATAGCAATCTTGCCACTGTTCTTTGGAAATACTATTCTTTTTCTACAATTAGCTTTTTACTAAGCAAAACACAAAATTTCCTAGTTACATTTTTTTTTTCGGAGTGGGGGGCTGATTGTTTTTGTTGATGGGATGTTTTGTGGAGAGAAAAGTAGAACGTTTGGTTTGCTAAAAACCCTCTGTCTCCTGTTGGACTTGCAACTCCATTTTTTTCAGGCTGGATCAAAGGGTAGAGTATAGCAGCCTAGTTTAGTATCAGAAATGATACCTACATTTTATGAACTCACCCCAAAACAAAAAAGTTTTAATTTTTGATTCTAGATGAAAAAAAAGCCTTGATCCTTTCAAAGGCTAAAGCAGAT